AAGTCTGAAGAGTAATGAAAAGGACTCAGCTGGTCGTGGTGGCACACACCTTTAATCCCAGCACTCTGGGAGGCAGTTGTAGGTGAACCTCTGTGAGTGCAAGGTCAGCCTAGTCTATATAGTGAGTTCCAGGACAGCCAGGACTATTTAGAGAAACCCTGTCTGGAAGAAAAAAAAAAAAAAAAAAGAAAAAAGAAAAGACAAAGAAAGAAAAGGACATAAAAAATGACAACAGAGGAATGGGTCTTACCTTCAGAAAGGCTTTCTTTTCCAAGGTGTTCATGATAAATGGAGGGATGGCTGGAATAAAGATAGATAGGGCTGCTTAAATCTTCACGTACTGCCTGTCTTCAGCTGAGTTTCCCATAACGATCTGATAGAAGCTCTGTCACTTTTAGCCTAGGTCACTGGCAGAATGAAATCTTCTGTAGCAGTTTTTAAATGATTGAATCTAGGTTTAATCACTAATTGTTATACATCACATAGAGTATTTGGATGTTCCCAGCAGGCCTTGCAGATTTATCCACTGAAAACTAAGGAGGGCGGGCTGAGGAGATGGCTAAGTGATTAGGCTGTGGGCAGCTCTCCGAGAGGACCTGGTTTGGTCCTCAGCACCACATTAGGTCCAGGGAACCCAATGTTATCTTTGGCCTCTATACACATGACTGTACACACACAACATGGACACAAATAAAAATAAATACTTTTCAGGGTAGAAAATGGACCGATTTTTATCCTCCAGGAATTCGAAAAGTAAAATATTATTGTCTAATAGACAGAAAATTTAGCATCTTTGAAAGAAATTCATAGTTCACCTTAAATTCACAATGCTAGACATTAGGAATGTTTCTCCTTCCTTGTTAGCAAAATAAACTAAATGTCATTTTCCTTGGATGCCTACCATGGAGGAAGGGCAGCTGGAAGGATCCTGCTTTGGCTGAGATAAAAACTTCTCAGGACATCCGAGACACCTTGCCAGCTGGGGATCCTGGAACACTTCCCCAGCCTCAGAGCCTCAGGTTTCTGTTTTCCCATTTGTGAAACAGGGACCATTACATTAACTTGGCTGTACTGAGGGAGGCAGCATCAGCTCATTAGCTCACAGCCTTTTAACAACACATCCACTATCTCAGCATGTCCACCGCTCTCACAGACTTCAATGGCACAGAGAGACTGGGTCTTTCACAGGGACAAATGGTGTTGAAAATAAGCAAGCTACTGAAAACACGGACACTGGGCCGGCTGCCTCTAGAAGAGGGGCAGTTCAGAAAATGGGAAAGACTCAAACTGAAGCAGATGCAGAGCTGGAGTTAGGAAGCTGGGGTGCAGCACTATTTGCAGGAAGCCTGGAAGCCAGGGCTCAGCAAGTGGTATCCCGGGGGCTCGACAGCCTTCTCTTTGGCAGTGACAAGCTGCTGGTCTTGGACTCAGTGGAGTCTTTGTACATCGCAGGACTGTGGTTTCCTAGATACCTCCAGAGACTACACTGGCATCCCAGAGAGTACAGAAGGGTTCCTCTGTTCAGTCAGATAATGGTGATCTCCCCCAGTTAGCGGAAACTCAGTATTGCTTGTCTCTCAGCATCTACAGGGGACTGGGTTCAGGACTCTTTGTGGGTACAGAGAGCATGGATGGTCAGCCTTCACAGTTGTAGTCTTCTCTGGGCAACTTGTAGCGTACAGTACAACATAAATGAGATGCAAAAAGTTACACTCTGTTGTTGAGGGATAACAAGAAAGCCTGAATGCGTGCAGTCCATGTGTCTTTTCCTTTCTGAAGGTCAGCTCTTTGACGCTGAGTGCGTACACACAGGGTCAACTGCAGAACGTGCTGTAGCTTTCCCGTCTGCACCTTTTCTCCAACTTTTGTTGCTCATCCCAACTAGCCAGCTCAGAGCATCGTGTGACGATAGCCAAACCATCAGCATGCAAACCTGACAGCAGCTAACAGACACGGTTCATGCGAGAGCATCTTCTACAGCCAAGGGCTGTTTATACCAGCTTAGGTGGGGAAATGAGAGCACATTAGTTCCTGGGTTTCTTTCTTTGTTTTCTTTTCCAGCAGAAAATGCCATCACTCCCAGGCCCTTTGATTCTAAGTGTATGAGAACTTTCTTTAGGTCCTCTGAGCAACCCACTGGGTAGACAGGAGAGTCTTAATGGTCTTCATATGACACGCATGTTCTCTCTGCTCATGCTGACCCCATACCATATACAACAGAGCAGCTGCCAGGTGCATGTTTCCTGCTAGCCAGCCTCGGAATTACCATTGTTCCTGTTGCAAGGAAAACCTCATTCATCCCTCCACTACAGCATTCTGGTCCAGCTAGCCATGGCTTGCCGCCTGTGGTGTTGAGAAAGCCTCCTAACCGTCTCCACCTACCACTGCTGTACCCTTTTAATCCAGTCTCACACAGCACCCATATTCACATAATTACCATGTTCAAAGCATGGTCCTCTAGTCCTCAGACTCAAAAGTCAGAGCTTGGAATGTCCCGGTCGTGTCTCCAGTCTTCAAGGCCTCTTAAAACGCTTTCTCTCCTCCAGCTGCACCTGCCTTTGCAGAATGCCTCCCATGCAAGGCAAGCTCCTGCCTCTGTGCTGACGCCCGCTCCACCTCAGATTCTCCATCTCTACCTGGCCTGGCCTGGCAGCCATGCTTCTTGCATCCCTTGCATTCCCTTCCCTTAGCTCTCATCACCATTTCACATGCAGGTCAACATCCCTAACCCAAAAACCCACGGCTCTGAAACATTCCAAAATCAGAAACTTGTCGAGAACCAAATGATGTCCCCAAATGAAACTGTCAACAACTCTCAACTCACGTGACACCAGTCAGGATACAAATCAACAATACACAATGTTTCTTACATGTATGAAACCATTAGCAATATTACATACAATTATTTTTTTGTATTTCATATCCATTTCTTTAAAAAAATTATTTATTTATTATGTGTACAATGTTCTGTCTGTATGTACATCTGCACATCAGAAGAGGACACCAGATCTCATAGATGGTGATGAGCACCATGTGGTTGCTGGGAATTGAACTCAGGACCTCTGGAAGAGCAGCCAGTGCTCTTAACCTCTGAGCCATCTTTCCAGCCTCATAAAAATATTTTTAAGCCACCTGTATAAGATGTGTATGAATCATTAATAACCTTCAAATTTAACTTTGGGCCTTAAGAGAGCTTGCTATATACATGTAAATGTTTCAAAACCTTAAAAAAGAAAAGAAAAGAAAACAAACAAACAAATAAACAAAAAAACAACAACAAAAAAATCTTAAATCTCAGACACTTTTGCAAGCCCCAAGCATTTGGGTAAAGGATTTCCCATTTGTATCATATATTTTATTTACTCGGTCAGTTGCTGGCTCTACCATCAGAAGGTGATTTTCACAAAAGGGAACGGCATTTGCTGCTTTTGTTTACCGATACATGAAAGCTTGGTATGGACTACAAGGCAGAGCTAGCAAGCTCACTCACCCATGCCAGGGGCTGCCATGAGGATCCTGGAGATGACCACCTGTGTGATAGCTTGCTTTGCAGCATTGGTCGATTCTCCCAAGCGAGTGCCATTTTCATCAGTGACAGGAATGCCAACTTTAAGTTCCCTGAAGGGCAGAACACAGGCAAAGGGGTTCACAGATGCCTTCAGGGAGCATCCTGAAAAAGGACTCTGTTGAGAAAGATCAGCTGCCTCCTTCATCCAGTTTCCCACTCAAGTGTCATTTTTGGCACTGATAAGTCTATTTTTGAATATCATGAACAGGTTCCAAGCCTCCTGTGATAGACACACAGGGAAAATAACACAAGCACTCTTTTTTTTTTTTTTTTTTCCCAGAAGGATGTACTTTTCCAATAATGGCATCATTTGAGGGTTGGATGTGCTAGCTCAAAGGTGAGGTTAATTTCTATGCTCATGTACAAACTTGAACAACTTTCTAAATCAGAAATAGATACAGTACATAGTGTCGCTGAGTCAACTCAAGTGTTGATAGTTATGCGACATAGCCCCATTGGATATCCATTAGCTACAGCTCCTGATGCTGGAAGCCCAACTCCTGTTACTGCCCTGCTTTTTATTATCTCTCCAGGATGCTTATTCTTTCTTCTACCTTTATTTCAAACAAAACAAAACACCAAACATTGTCAAAGATAAAAATTAAAATTACCTTAAGCTGCATAAGAAAATTCTAAGGAAAAACCAAGAAACTTTTGGTTTTCTTTCTCTCTGGTCTCAATCTGACAGAACTCTCTCTTTGTAGAGTGTACAGGTTAGAGACATAACTTTGAAATAGGAAGACTATGCATTCTAAGCCTGTAGGCATTTTTCGGTTTACTTCAATGAGAAAGAACCTGATGGGCTCGCCCTTACAATCCCCATCCCAGAGTATTTCGAAGCAAAGATCAGATTTCATTTACTTTCTCTGCTATGAGAAATCTGTCAGGCACACGTCTTTGCCAAACTTTGTTCATCTTACCTTTGTCTCATTAGCGGGATATTAATGCAGTTAGCAGCAGCTACAGCAGCAAAGGGAACAAACCGTCCTATTAGTGGTGAGACGTGCTGTAGGGAAGATAATTCCAGAAGCATTGTTTTACCTTTTATGTACAAACTGAGACAACGTAGCCATTGCAGACACTTTGATAGCTCAGGTTCATGTGGCTGAAAGCACATGGGCTTTAGAGTCCTCAAGTGCCACAACTTTCATTTCAGATGCCAGTTCTACCTCTTCAAGGCACATTAAAGCTCGTCCTCCACATCTCAGGAGGACTTTTTAGAGAAAGGCATTTTATATTTTTTTCATTAATTAATTATTTACTTTACATCCCCATTGGAACTTCTCCCCTTCTCTCCTTCTAGTCCTCCTGACCTTTCTTCCTTCTATGTACCCCTCCCTTTCTTCTCAGAGAAGGGGAGTCCTCCCATGGATATCAACCCATGTTGGCATAACAAATTGTAGCAGCAAATGTGGAAACCCACAGCCAAATAGTAGGCATTCCATGTTTAATGCACAGAGCTGGGAACAGTCTTGTCTGATGCTCTAGTTACAATCCTTCCCCAATCCACTAGATGATGCAATTAAAATATGCAGCTGACAAAGGCTACAAGAAAGCCAAGCGACTGGAACTCTTTTGAGAAATAACAGAGGCACCCAGAGTGTCAGGTGAGAAAAGGTTAAGATGCTTTGTCACGGAACTAAAACTAAAGTACCTTGGTTAAGGCATTGAGGCCTAGTGCTGTCGCAACAGCGCCGGTTGTTGCAGAAACATAGGCCGTTCCCAGCTCACTGAAAAGGACAAAGACGCCGTGTTAGTGACAGGTGCTCGTCAGGGATCATGAACATATGACATGAGGAAGCTGACTGTTGACAGAAGTGTGCAATCAGAAATGGAGGGTTCGCAGAGCAACATCTGGGCCACTCCATCAGTGTCGGAATCCAGAGACAAAGCAAACACACCCCTAAAACAACGGACCACACCCCCACAAGCAGACATGCAGATGAAGCACCCGAGGTAGGTGAGGGAAGAGATGAGGGAAGAGCAGGGCTATGAGAGTGTGAAAAGCTGTAGACACAGGAAAGGCTCAGGGATGTGTGTGGGGCACCTTTGCGCAATCATAAGCACTTGAAATCCTAACGTTTGCAGAGAAAGCAGAGAGCAGTGCTGTTCTTAGAATGCCATCTCACTGAAGAGAGAGGCCAAGCCCATCTCTAGTGTGTGGCTGAGCCCAAGTCATGCTGCTGACGGTGAGAAACACCACTGGGTGGCAGGGCTCAAGGGCCTTTGCTCCATCTGAGGACAGCAGAATATTGAGAGTCAAAGGCAATTTTTCAAAATACAGAGGAAAACGGCTTCTCTTTTAAGTGCTGTACAGGTTGTATCTGTAGTTTTATTTAATCAGTTCAGCTTGCCCCTACCCACCCAATCTTCTGAAACAGGAGGCAAATTCATGAGCTCATTGCTTTCTTTGGACTCAGGAACTAGGCGCTTTTAAAGTAAAGCGTCTATTCCTCGGTGAAGTCCCGTCATTCTGCTTTGAGACTGGTAGCTTTGACTCGTGCAGAACAGGGAAGAGTTTTTTGGCAGGAGCCAGACCTGAGGGCTACCTGGTAGGCATTCTAGAGGGTCCTAAGCTCGGGGTATAAGAGAGACAGCATCATCCAACTAATAGGACAAATGATGTCAGAGAAGGCAAGACACAAGCAGACATCGATCCTGTCTGGGGAAGCAGGAGAGACGCTGCAGAGCAGGCTGTGCACATAAATGCATAAATGTACTGGTGCTTAGGGAGCAAGGGGGCACGGAGGACAGGTCAGCCTGCGGCCTTACTTTACAGTGAGGGGAGCATCGCCGCTTCTGTTGGTATAGTTGACAACAGCGTTGAAGGACTGGTTTATCCACTGCCAGAAAAGCACAGCCGGTGTGGTCCTAGAACAGAGCGAGGAGTCGCACATGAGCATCCACAGAGAGGAGTGAGCACAGCCAGCACCAGTGAGCATCCACCAATTAAAAAAAAATGTTAACACCAACTACCAGCAAGGAAGGGAGGGAGAAAGCCTGGGCTGCAGATACAGGGGCCAGAGCACCAACTTTGACACCAGTTTCCTTACCATCATGCTCACAGGGCTCCTGTCTTTGGGTTTCTATTGCTGTAATAAACATCATGACGAACAGCAATTTGGAGAGGAAAGGGTTTATTTCAGCTCACACTTCTACTTCACAGTCCATCACCGAAGGAAGTCAGGCCAGGAGCTAAAGCAGAGGCCACAGCGAAATGCTGCGTGCTGCCTTGTCCCTCATGGCTTGCTTAGCCTGCTTTCTTATTCAACCTGAGACCACCAGCCCAGAGGTGGCATGGCGCGCTGTGAGCTAGTCTTCCCCATGTCAATCATCACTCAGGAAAATGCCTGACAGACTTGCCCACTCGTCAGTTTTATGATGGGGCTGTTCTCAATTGGAAGTCTCACTACTCAATTGACTCTAGCTTATGTCAAGTTGACAAAAACTATCCAGGACATCTTCTGTCACAAAGAAACAAAACAAAACAAAACTTAAATTTGCATCTACAGAGAGAAAGAGAAGAATTCGTTTCTAGACGGTTTTCTCTATGTCACTTCCTTAAGGGCTTCAGACTTAGGGAAAATACCAATTTTCTTTTAAACAAAGGTATTATTTAGTATCTTTATAAAAAGGCGTTAGTTGTGTTTATTTCAGGTGCACATTTGCCTGCACGTCCAGGTGGGTACTGTGTGGCTTCAGTGCTCACGAGAAGGTGTTGGATCCCTTGGGGCTGGAATTAAAGACAGCTGTGAGCCACCATGTGGTGCTGGGGACTGGGCTGGGGGTCCTCGGGGAGAGCAGCACAGGAGTGCTCTCAGCTACTGGGCCACCTCTATCCCCTTATTTAGCATCCTTAGAGGCAAAACCCAAGCTTAAATACAGCGGATTGTGTTGTTGTTACCATTATTATTTTATTTATTATTATTATTATTATTTTATTTTGTTTGCCAAGAGTGACCTCAAACTCATGGCTTCTGAGTGCCTTACTCTCCTGTGTGCTAGGATTTCAGGCTATATAGCCAGGCTGGCCTCACACTCAAAATCTTCTTGTCTCAGCTTCGTAAGAGCTGCGATTACAGGGGAGAGCCATAACCCCACCTCCATCTTAGTTTCTGATGTGATATGTTCTACTTTATTTCACATCTTTTAATTTGAATTTTATTTATTTTGTATGCACGTGCATGTGTGTGGAGCTCAGAGGATGACGTGCAACATCAAGATTAGGCTCCCCCATCTACTGAGCGGTTCCTAGGAATGGAATTGTGTCCCAGCTTGGCGGCAAGCACCTTTCCTCGCTGAACAGTCTCGCCAGCGCCACATTCAGTTAATTTTCTTACTGACTAAATTTACGGGACATAACACAGCCTGACACGCACTGTCAGTGATTTCATCATTCTTGTTAATCATGGCCACTGTGACGTTTACGTTATTAGAGCTTATGTTTCGACACTGAAGCACTGCGACAGCACACCAGCTAGCAGCTGCCACGCAGATATGCTGTCACTCACCTGTAGAAGGTCATCATGCAGCCCGTGATGGTCATGTTCATCGGGACCTGCGCCGACATCCTCCCTATCAGGGTCATCTTTTCTCCTGTGTCCGGGTGGAAAGCCGAGTCATACGCGTACTTGGCTCTCCACAGCTCATTTTCCGTGAGGCCGGCGGGAACTATTCCTTGCCTAGAAGATGACCAAAACCAGCTCCGTTCAGATATTTCACCATGAGCCCTACGGTTTGTGACACTTTGCTAAACCTATGGGACCTGGCAGGTCTATTAGAGTGCATGCGCTCTCGGTAATTGGTTTTGAATTATTTGTGTGTTTCAGATGCTGGGGAGCAAACCCAGAGCCTCACACACACTGACACGTGCTCCATCCCTGACACATCCATACAGCCTAAAGCATAAGAACAAGAACACAGCTACTGTGAACTTCTCAAACCCGCTCAGCTCAATTATCTGTAATTGGAAAATAACAAAGTAATATGCCCATCAAGGAGCATTCAACTTGAAAATATTCATTGTTTTAAATGACATTAAAAATGCCACCTGAACTTGGCAAACTTTGAACCATTTCTAACCATCAGACCAATGTTATGGCACTCAAGGCTATCACTTTATTTTAAACCTGCAGTTGGCAAACTGAGGTTAGAGACCCTTTGGTGCAAATAAAGGGCTTGGTGCACACTTTGTCAGATTTTTCTCATTGTCAGAAATTTAGAAAATATTCAAATTTAATGGAGCAATGAAATTACCCCAGGCTTATCTACTGTTTGTCACTGGCAACATTTGGGTGAATTCTTTTTCAGTCTTCCGAGGTGTTTAAGGTATGACACCAAACCAGATGCTCATTAACCTTGGCTTTTACGCAGAAATTTTCTGTAAGTATTTCTGTGCCCGTTTATATAACATTTTTCTAAACCTCCTACACTGGGTTTAATAGTAACTCCCAAGTTTATTTCTACATCCAAGAATAGAGTGCCTCTACAGACAAAGTGAAATCCTTTTGGATAAGTGGCCCAAAAAGCCAAGGAATAGTGCCTATGTACAGAGAAGGCAGAGAGCACATGATGCACCCCCCACCAAGGGAGGCCGACAGTTCCCAGAGCTTGGAAGAGGTACCTTGGAAGAGGGAAGGAAGATCCTCCCGAGAGCCTTCCAAGGAGTGTGCGCCTACGGTGACTCAGACTTCCAGCCTCCACACTGGCAAGGGGCACATCACTGTCCTTTAAACACTACAGGGCATGACACAGCGTGGGTTTAAAATATCCCTCTCCTAACACTGGGATTTTAATTGTTCCTCCCTTTCCATTTACAAAGGATGTGGGGATAAGCCTTCAAAATAGACTTTCCCCACACCCAAGATTATTTAGAAATAGATGAGTGAATCTGCTAAAGCAACAGCCATGTACAATGTTAAACATTTTTATGACATTTATCCTTTGCACGTGATTGAGTTTATAGGATGTGGAAGATTCCCTGAGAGAATGTATAGAACAAAGACTAAGGCCTTGACTCCAGGAGAAACTGGAAAAGCCAGATCCCCACATGGGTTAGGCTCAGGAGGGATGGTAAAGGATGGGTTGCAGTGCGCAGGAAGACTTGAAGCCACAGCTTCCTCCTGCAGGAAGTTTACAGCCTCAGACTGCTCATCTACGGAGACCTCCTACCTCCACCAGCTTGCCCCTCCTCCGCCTGTAGCTAATAAACATCCAGTGTTCCAGGTTGCCTGCACTTTCCTGTACATGTGTCTGTCCTTTCTTGCTTCCTTCCCTGCCCCGTTCAGGGTTCCAGGGCCCAAGCTGTATGTTGTGGCAGCAAAAGCTATGTCCTCTGCCTTTTGCCCAGAGTCTGTCTTCGAAAGCAGCAGGGATTTACTGTAAATATAAAAATGTGGGATTTGCTGAGCCTTCCTTCCGGCTGGCTGGTTTTTATCAGCTGAGGTGCGAGGAGCATCAGGCTTGGTTGCTAGCTTTCTGCTGTGTTCCTGCTTTAACCGTAGGATGAGGACCACGCTCACCATTTTATGACATAATTGCTGGTGGGAAAAGTATGTTCCTTCTATTTCTCCTTTTATAAAAAGGCCTTCCTTGAAGTCAGTATTCTTCCAGGGAAACCTTGCTTAGAGCTGATCACTGCTGTGTTGATGGGAACTGTTATGGGAGAGAAGTGTCATGGCCACAGTATGAAGTCTTCCTTTCCAGCCTGGCAGGGGCGCTCTAGTTACTCAGACTATTTATTTTAGTTGTCACACAGGTCTGAGCCCGCTGTCCTCAGCTCTCTCTCTCTCTCTCTCTCTCTCTCTCTCACACACACTGTGTCTATGTGTGTGTGTGCACGCGCACATGAGTGCAGGCACCCACAGAGACCAAGTGTTAGATCCCTTAGAGCTGGAGTTGACAGGTGTTCGTGAGCTGCCCGATGTGATGCTGGGTACCAAGCTTCAGTCTTTGTAAGAGAAGTGTGAGCTCTCAACCGCTGAGCTGTCTCCCTGCCGTGTTTTGTTGAGTGTTCTAATGCAGGTGAGCTGCTGTCGCTGTGCACACTGATCCTTTAAGACTAAAGCAGCCCCTTTCCTCACGTTTGTTGTAGGTTCTGAGCCGATTAGGGTATTGTCAGTTGCAAGATATACTGCTTCATCTTTTTAATATGCTCACTTCGAAGTGTTTTCGAATAGGGAAGATTAGGGTGCCTTGGACCTACTCCTACTTGATGCCTCCAGCTTCATCTTTCCTGCATGCATACAAATTCTGAGATGAGGGCATTTTCTTTAGGATGCATATTTGTCTGTTTGTATTTAATGATATACATTCCTTGTTATTTTTTGGGATGTTGCTCAGGCTTGTCTCAAGCACTAGCTTCGCGTGTCCCCTGCCTCAGCCTTCCGAGTAGCTTGAACTTAGGCAGGGAGCATCATGTCTCTGTTCTTGCTTGTAGACTGATACCATCTCCAGCTTGCCTGCCAGACCCCAAGGAATACAAGTGCCCTGTACAGGTGGACTGTATTGTTCATGGAGTAATAACAAGAAAAGAGCCTGTCATGTCCCATACTGATAAGACCTTTTCTTCTAGTGGTTCCTACTAGGAATGGTTAAAGGCCCAGGCAGGGAATCGGTGACTGTGGACGACAGAGTGTCCCCGTGTAGGTGGCATCCTCTTAGCTCCTGTGTGGCTCTACGATGGGGTACATCCCCCACCTGCACCCCTGAACTCCAGTCAGAATCCTTCCCATCTGAATATGATGCTGAGAAGGCTGCTCACTGGGGCTGTTCTCAGCAGCACAGGCCTAGCCTAGTCATCAGGACCCAGGGTATTCAATGACGCTGTTTTTACCCAAAGACAGAAGGATGCTGGCTGCTGGGGAAAGAGCTCACACACAGGTCATCAAGCTGCATGGAATACTGACACGCTGTGGTAAGGATCAGCTCTGGGATCTACTCGGTCTTCCTATTTATTATTTATTCACTTATTTTGTTAGGCAGTAGTTTGCTGGAAAAAAAGATGCTGCAAAATCGTGAAATAGTTTAAAAACAAGCAACACAATGATCTGTTATGTGAAAGGTCGGAAAACCCGACGCTGGCATCACCTGTAGTCATGCACCACTTTCCTGGCATTCTCTAGTTGTTCGTCTGTTAAGAGAATGTTCCGGGGGTCAGTGACAGTGAAGAAGTGACTGGCTCGGCCCATGAAAGTGCTCTGGTCCCATCGAGGCTCCTTGATGTTAATGTTGGGTGGCACTTCCCCAGACATCGTCCCAGATCCTGAAAAGGGAAAGACAAGCCGAGTGAGCTGATGCCACGACTGTCACACGTAGCCTGTGTGTAAGACAGCTCGGTGGGGAAAGGCTTGCCATGCTAGCGTGGCGACCTGCGCCCAGCTCCTGAAACCTACACCCGAGGCAGGAGAAGCAGCTCTGCAGAGTTGTCCTCCGACTTCCCCTGAGTGCCCGTGCGTGGGCCTAACCCCCTCCCACATGCATCACACACACCAATGATTAATTTAAAAATCACACAAAAATATTTCACATTTAAGTAAATTTTGATTTTGTGTTTGGTCACATTCACAGCTATCACGGGGTGCATGCAGCCCATAAGCTGCTAACTAGAAACCCTGATAAGCCGAAGCAAGCTGTTTATAACCCCCACGGCACTTCAGCCAGACTTCACACATTTGCCACATCTGTCTCATCGTTGAGCACCTAGCAGTTCTTCATTCCTTTCCTGTAGGAAAGTCAAATTGCTCTAGATAAGGTACAGACACACCAAGCTTTAAAGATTCAGGGCTGGGGAGTGGTTCAGTAAACTGCCTGCCACACAGCACGGGGGTCCGAGTTCAGATCCCTAGAGCTCCCTGGCCAGTCAGTCTGGCCAAAGCAGCCAGCAAGGGACACTGTGTCAAAAACTAGGGTGGAGAGGGATGGAGGAAGACACCTGGAGGCACACCCGGGCCCGCACTGGCATGTGCCATTGAGTGAGGCAGCTGAGCTTACCGCATTCCGGTCCAACCTGTTAGTCCTGCTGCGAGTAGCTGGTGACACACAAGGTGAAAGGGAAAAAGAATGATAACTGTACAACCGAAAAAGATGGTAGATTCTTTCAGTCTGTTCAGCATGAAAACCACTAATCAAAAATTTAAAAAAAATCTTTAATTTACCAGAAACACAAAGACAATCAGCACAACCTGACAGGTGCACAGATAACAATGGAGCCTTCTCTTACTGAATGCATGCTTTCTGGTGCATGAGTATTGGTTCACTTTTTCTCAATCATATTCCTTTCTTCAGCACTGCACTGAAGTGTTGTACTGCATGCTTATGGTTTGCTAAACACCACTACTGTGCAAATAACAAAGAAAAACATCCACAACCCAGCCTCAATGTGATAATGAACAATGTCCTCAGAAATGCCTTCTACAGGCATATAAAAATTTGACATGCTATCTTTTAAATTTTATTATTTGGGGCTGGAGAGATGGCTCAGAGCTTAAGAACACTGGCTGCTCTTCCAGAGGTCCTGAGTTCAATTCCCAGCAACCACATGGTGGCTCACAACCATCTACAATGAGATCTGGTGCCTCCTTCTGGCCTGCAGGTGTACATGCAGACAGAACACTGTATACATAATAAATAAATAAATTTAAATATTATCATCTAATTATTTTAGAATTCCACACATGAATACAATTTATTTTCAGTGTATGCACCCCTCCCCAAACTCTCCTGTATCCCCTTTACATCTCCCTCTCATACTTATGACCTGTCCTTGTCCAAATTGTATATATATACATATATGGAGTTTAATGCTGCAGCATTATGCCGACAGGGGACCCGGTCCACTTCACAATGCAAACTTCTTTCTTCAGTCATGATTTGAGCCTATCATAATGATAAAGCATTAAACTCCACACACACACACACACACACACACACACACACACACACACACACGTGTATATAGATACACACATATACATACATAACCAAAGCAAGTCCAAATACTGTTTCTTGCATGTATGTAGGTATAGTACTAGCCCCTAGGGCCTGGGCAACCCATCCCATGGTTCACCTGAAGAAACCCTCAGCAGCTGACGAGCCTTTGTCTCATCTGGAATGGTGACTGGCATGGTCTCGCTCAAGCAACCACACTGTTGGGATTATGTGTGTGGAATTTGCCCATCACACCCAGAGGACACTATTTCCCAGCAGGTCCACCCACTGGCTCTTACAGTCTTTCCACCCCCTTCCAGGATATCCATTCACATTTGTTTCATGACAGCCCTCTGGAGGCACCAGATCTTCTCTTTGGACCTGCAATAACCCTTTGGTGCCGTTTTGCTTTAGTTCTCAACATTACACGTAACACCTTGTCTGGGACTTTCTTCCCTCATGATGCTGATTTTCTGGGATGAACTCTCTGATGATGGTGGGTCAGAGGATCCAGTTACTATGGAGGATTCATACAATATAATTTCCTTATTACCCCCCCCCTCATTTCTAACATTAGTTCTAACCATAGCTTTCTTTAGTGTTTCACAAATTTTAGGAACATTAAGGAGTCCAATGCAAATACTAGGTTGCCCTATAATTTGTCCTTATCAAAACCCTCAAATAACAAACACATCACTAATGGCTGGATCAGAACTGAACATGTCAGCCGGACACCCAAGCCTGAAGCGGTTAGCGGTGGGAGTGAGAGAGTGAAATCCAGCTACTGATAAAACAGGCTGGGACAGCAGACCCAGACCAAAGTAGGTGGGAGCCAACAGGAAAATGCTTTCCTCCCAGCTACAAAGTGTCAACAGCATTGTGTCTTAGGTACACTACTTCCTAGTGGACAGACCTGGTTTTGTGTAATCATAGATGCTCGGAAATTTTGCTATTTGAAAAGAATGGAGCGCACTACCCCTGCTCCCTGGCATGGGAGTCACTGGGTTTTCAGTCCAGGCACAGGACTTCACATTACAGAAATTCTGGACTCAACATCCAAACACTGTTTCCAAGGAAACAGGGATGCGGGTCTGCTTCACAGCATAAGCTTCTCTCCCCAGCATGGCTGGGCTGCAGCATTAGACTCCACTGTTCTCCACAATGCTAAGGCAGACCCCCCTCTCTTCCTGGCTAGACCCCACCCCACTCCCCTGGTCCTGCTCCCCTTACCACAATGAGCCAGGAAGTACGCCTCCACTGTCCCTGCTGGCCGCTGCCTGATAAGGTTATAATACAGAACAGACCCAAAGTATAAATGAGAACAAATATAAGCAGCCGTGCATGTTAAATCCAGGGACAGAGACATATAGTAATCCCCCCATCTGAAGGGACCAAGCCCCCACAGTGGGTAACTTTAACCGCAGATAGTACGGGCCCCCATGTACTGTATATATACATACATACACACACACACTTAGGTTAATTGATAAATTAGACACAGCAGGAAGCTGGCACTATCTAACAACGAAACAATATACGTAACAACGTACACATTGGGAATTCATTCTCTCTCAAAATAGTTCATTGTTTTTGAAATTTTCCATTCAATATTTTTGGACCATAGTTGATCATGGGTAGCTAAAGGGTAAATGAGGACTCGTGGACATCAAAAGGCTATGTCACTGTGTGGAGACATGGATTATTTATATAACCCACAAAGAGTAAAATAAAAACCCCAGTTTATATGTAGGAACATTTCCAGACTCTCCTGCCGAGCTAAGCTGAGGCAGCTCAGCAGCCTCCATACTGAGGGGAACCAGGAACATGGGTCCTGAGCACAAAGCTGCACCCCAGGCCAGTCTGCTCCGCCTTACCCATAGTATTAGTGATAATAGTTGATAACTACTGTGAGAGGCCCAGCTGAAGGTTGGGGGGGTTCAAAGGTCCAGAGACTCTCAAGAGCAAAGATGGCGTGTCACATCAAAGGCTCCCCGCTTACTTTATTCCTACAAGACAGAAACTCTGAACCACAGAATCCATCTCGGGGAGGAGAGCTTTGAAAACACACATCAGCCTTTTAGATGCTCACATGCTAGGCCTGGCAGAGGCTGACAGGACAAGTGACTCCACAAGTCATCTGGGCACAAGCCTTCAGCTTGATGGGTGGGCACTGGGCCATCCTCTACATGGGGCTGTATAGGCGATGCTCCCTTCCTGCCCTCCCTGTGATATCCCCCAAGGCTAGAGCCGACTGTTCCCCAGGGGTACAAGATACCTAGTTTTCCTGCATTCTTTCTCCTTTATGCTTGATACAAATAACAAGGCAAAGTTTTAAATGTAGCTTTCACAGAAGTCCAGCTCTTAACAACAAACTTTGCCCAATGCGTTCAGTACAAGCAACACTTTGGTTAAATTGTAACCAACATGATGCTATTATAGAAGAAGGGATACTTTGTGGTAGTATTGCATAAGAACTGTACCGGACCTTACAGATGAGTTATCCAACAAGTTCATCAGACAGACAGGGAAGCTGAGACTTGAGGAAAGGAAATACTCTGTCAGGTGACATGGGTGAAGGGGAGAGAGGGCGTCAGCCACATCACTTTTTCTCACCAGTCTCTTTTAGTGTTTTGTTTTTGTGGTTTGTGATAAATCAGTTAATATCTATAGAAAATGGGTGTCTCTGAGGTACACTGTTCTTTTTAAATAAGAACTTGTCCACTGTACCAGAAGTCTCCAACATCATAACCCCACAGAGCCCAACAGAGCCACAGCAACACTGCAGAGGCCTTGCAAAATGTCCTCTCTAAGGAACAAAGATGGTCCAGGAAGTGAACATGTTTTGTTTCAGTTGAACAGAGGGATGCCCTGGATGCCGAAGAACACCCACTCTCCCCTCAGGCCAGAGCTGAAGTAAGCCAGCTCATTTCCCACAGCAGCTGTGTCCTTCTCACACAGTACGGACATCTTACAGATGAGGAAAGATTCTCAGAGGCCACTCCCGACCTACAGAGGAAAGGCAGAGGGCAGCTCTGTCTGCACACTCCAGGCGAAACGGCCAAACCTCAGAAACCACAAAGCCCACGGATGGCCTTGTCCTTGTGGGCAGTCTGGTTCCCGGGAGCTAGGAAAATGCTGCATTCATGGTTCTGGGGCTTGGCCAGAGGGTTTCAGTTCTAGCTGTAAGGACAGGAGAGGACTTTGATTATCCAGGTCGATTCAGAGTCACAACGGGGCCAGATAAACAAACACAAAAAAAGATAGAGCTGAATGAAATGAGGCTGGGTAGAGAGCTGAGCAGCGCAGGAGCTTCCAGAGGTAAAGGGACTCTTCCTG